TGTGAGTTAACCTTGTGTGAGTAGTAAAAAGAGGGGGAAAACAAGTAACATGATGGGTGGTAAAAAGAAAACAAAAGTTGACATTTTCTTCCCATTAGTTGTTGCCAAAGAAGAAAAATATCACCCAATGTGAGTAAACATTTTGCGGGGACTAGCACCATCAAACTTTTAATTTTTAACCTCAGTTTTATAAATGTGAAACGTTTTAAATTGGAAATGGATTTTAAACCACCAGTTTTATTTAGAGCAGTGGTTCTCAACCTTCCTAGTGCTGCGACCCTTTAATACAGTTCCTCATGTTGTGGTGACCCCCAACCATGAAATTATTTTTGTTGCTATTTCATAACTGTAATTTTGCTACTGTTAGGAATCATAATGTAAATATGTGATATGCAGGATGTATTTTCATTGTTACAAATTGAACATAATTAAAGCATAGTGATTAATCACAAAAACAATATGTAATTATATATGTTTTCCGATGGTCTTAGGCAACCCCTGTGAAAGGGTCGTTCCACCCCCAAAGGGGTCGTGACCCACAGGTTGACGACCAACAGGTTGAGAACCACTGATTTAGAGCTTATCCCAAAGAAATCATTAGAGCTGTGAGCAAAGGTGTATGTATAATTTTGGAAGAAATGTAAACCTTAAGTGTCTAGAAATAGTATTAAGGAATTGATGCTTGGTAGCTTTGTGGGGTGGAATTCAATGTAGCAAGCAGTGTAAAACACTATCAATGTGAGAAACTAGAATATATTCATAAATGAAAAGAAGCAGAATTCAAATCAGTGTATACCTTTTGGTATTTCTTTTATTGAAAAAAGCAGTAGATTTATGCACAGAAAAAGAGATTAGTTGGAAATATACCACAATTATATTTAATTTTCTTTGTGATTTTCAGTTTCCTGTATCAACTGACCTCATGTTACATTTGGATTCAGGTAAAGAAAAACGTTTTTAACATACCTTTTGATATTTCTTTTATTGAAAAAAAGCAGTATATTTATGCACATAAAAAGAGATTAGTTGGAAATATACCACAATTATATTTAATTTTCTTTGTGATTTTCAGTTTTCTGTATTGACTGACCTTATGTTACATTTGTATTCAGCTAAAGAAAATTTTTTTTAACCATCCAATATATATATCAACATCTATTTTGTTCATACAATGGTGGGGATTGAACCTGTACTGCTCCAGGTTAAAAAATGAGATGTTGGTGAGGAAATGGAAGCAACCCATACAAACCTGAAATGCTTCTTGTGGAATTACAAAACTTCATATACATTTACACAATTCTGCATCTGAGATGGACGGAAGGCTTCTGGGTTCAACAAACATGGAATTTCCTCTTCCTCTCAGACCAACATAATTAACATTTGGATTACTGGCCGAGCATGTAAGGTACTACATGTGGAGATGATTATAAAATAAACACCAAAATATCTTGGGTTATTAAATCTAGATACTCCACAATGAAACAGATGAAAGGACGTATAATTAAGGAGACAGTGAATAGGAAACTCAATTATGGGGAATTATCATTTCTCTTCATTCTAACAGTTGTAAAAGAATTATACTGGTAGTTTAGTAGCTTAATGTTGTCACTTATTAAAACAGAGAAACTATTCTCTACAACCACTAGTACACTATGTTCTATGTCAATTATATCTCAATAAAGGTGAGAAAAACCTTTCCCATCTATTTGGGGCTTGGAAGTAAGTTGTTTTTTTCTTGTGAGAATATTCAAAAGATAGGGGGAAAATATGGTGAGTTTCTTAGTTACAGGTACTAGATTAGATTCAGAACTGGAATTTGCTTTTAGTCAATGAAATTTCTACTCCTGGTGTTCATCAAAGCATTCTAAATATAATTTAAAATTTTCACACCGATGCTTCAACTTATTTTGAGTTGACTCATCTCGGGATTTGTCCTAAGCCTTGTTCCCTATTTTTATGGACAAGCTCTATGAGTCAGGAATAGAGCTTTGTTGCTTTTTCTCCTGTGCCCAGACAGTACTAGGCCTGCAGGAGCTGTGTAATAAATGTGTGTTAAGTACTGAGTAAAACAAACAGGTGTAGAAGTCAAGTGCGTTTAACATGTCTCATTCAATGCTTCAACTCTATGGGTTTACCAAATGTTAAAAAATTCTGAGAGATTTTGATTTTGATCATTTTAGACACTAAACACAAAACTGGATTTGTCTCTTTAAAAAATGAGATATGAATGTTTGCACTGAAAACCTTTTTTAATCAGGCAGACAAGCTGACCTATGAAGTGGAGCTAATGTTTGTCCCTTAGCATTGAGATCATTTTAGTGACTGAGTTCAAAGGAGAATATTGACCGTGAACTTCCTAAGGTCCTCACAGGAAAAAAGCACAGAGAGAGTTAAGGCTTTGAGGGAAGTAGGGGAGTAAAAACGAGTG